ATATATATATATATATATATATATGTGTGTGTGAAACGCTTGTGTCAAGATTTTATTAATAGTGTATATACTCTCTTAATATTATTTAATCATATTTTTTATTTTAATTTTTAAAATTATTAACAAGTGCATGTGCAAGGAAAAAAAATTATGGCTTTACATAAAAAAATTAAAATATATTATTATTTTTCAAAATTGCTATTATTTTAATCACTAGAACCAGACTAATAATAAAGTTATAATAGATATACGAGGATTTAGGTTTAATTTCTATTCTTATATTTTCTACTTATAAAATAAATGACATTACTTTTTCAAGATAATGTTTGAGTCAATCATGTGATTAGAATAAGGGGTAGTAAGATTGTTCACAAATGGGTATAGGAATAAGTCAGGTCAACATTAACTATAAAAATCAAATTTATTTTATAAATTTAAAACTTAGGTGTCATTATTTATTATAGACTATTTTTTTTAGGTTTAGGATTTAGGGGCAGAGCTTCCTCGAAGCTTAGAGTTATTTTTTTCCTCTTCTTCATTTCTTCAACTTTGTGACTTGGGATCAAGGTAGGGAAAGCTAAAATTTGATTGTTAGTAGAATTTGATATTGCATGTACCTTGATTCTAGTTTAATGCTTGCTAGTATGCTTAATTGGAAGTGGGTGTTGAATTTTGAAGAACTTGTGTTCTTGGCATTCTTGTGGAAAAAATGAAGATTTGACGATCTAATTTGTGTGTTATTGTTGCATGTTTGATTTTCTTCAAAATTTGAATTATATGTTGCTAATAAGTGATAAATATTAAATTGCATGCATGAACTATTGGTTGGATGAGAGGATTTTGGAGATGTGATGGTGTTCATAGTTACTGTGCTTATTCTTCATGTACGTAGAACTTTTTGGGTTTGTGACCCTAAACGTGAGTCTCATGCTTAGTGTAGAGATTGGAGGATACCTCTAGAAGAACATGGTGCTCGAGGTGACTTTTCACGCTAAGCGTGAAACCTTAACCAAATATTTTCTTCTTTGTTTGAGTTGATTGCTCACATGATGTATGATGAAGGTAGTTTAAATGTTGTTTGTTTTTTATCCATTAATCTAGGATAATGTATAGTGATGACTAATTTTCAATTGGTGAGTTGAATGGTGAACATGAATAACATTGTTTAATCTATTACATGTTGTATGTAGGGTGATGATAATAAACATTGGCGTGCTATACTTATGTAGTTGAAATAGTGATGAACATCAATGTGCTATGTATAATTGATATGCTATAAATTACATGGTTGGAGTGTTAAATAAGCATTGATATGTTATTATTGAATAAGTTGTTAAACATTAGTATGCTGATCTTAGAAGAATTGTTAAGCATTGTTATGCTAATTATGATTGGTGTGATTTGATCTCTATATGCATTGACTTTGGATAATGTATATAGATAATATATGTTGAGGCGTTGATATTTAGAATGTTGTTTGCATTAAAGTATGTTGATTAACTTATTAGAAGAGAGGATGTTGTTTGAAAGTATAAAGAATCTTGTTTTGGCACTTTGAGAGGCCAATTGTTGAAAATCTTCGTTGAGTAGGTGTGAAACTTTTGGAGTGGATTTTGTTAGGTCTCTTCTATGACTTTAGCTAATGTGAAGTAAAGTATGAAGTTGAGGGCTACCACCCTTAACTAATTACTAGAATGGTTGTGTGGTTCCTTAAGGATAGTCAATGGACTAATTCTATAAACGATTTGGTAATGTATGTCAAGGTCGTGTGGTATGCCTATACCTAGCTATACTAGTCTTAACGGTAGAATCGAACTTCCCTAGTGTAAGTGGTGACAGTTGAGAAATTGAAGGTAGTGATTGGTAACCCATTTTTACTATCAATATAGCGAGCACATTGGGCATAAAGACAATTAGGTTGATTTGGTAAGGTCAAGTCATTTAGACTGCTTAGGTGTATTCGAAGATCTTCGTAGGTGAATATATAACAACACATTAGTTGTACATATATGTTGTGTTGTTGATTGATGTGTTCATATATATTGGTTGATTCTCTTATTGTATGATATTTACTTGGTGGGGGTTTGAATGCTTAATGTGTAGCTTTCAAATTGATTATTGTTTTAAAGATTGTTTTATGATGTGAACATTGTGTTGTTGGTTTGAAGATCTACATGCAGACAAGTAGTATAGATGTTTTTATTCTTATACTTGCTAGATTCTTTTGAAATCTATCTTATCTTACTTGTTTCTACGCAGTATAAACTGTTATGATTATACTTAATATGGGAGCAAAGTATGAATAGATTATAGAGGACTGTAATGGAGCCCATTAGGTGAATGGTAATACTTTTGAAATGTTTTATATTACCCTCTTATAATAATTGTATAATTTGTGCTTAACCAACACTTAGGTTATTTTTAAATGAAATAGTATAATTAACTAACTTTTTAGTTAACATAGTTTTTTTTTGTGCTTACATAATAATTAGAATTGGAGGAAGTATTTTTTTAAAGACAAAAATCATAAGCATTATCATCAAACCAAAAAATGGATGTAACATATCCATTTATTCATATGAAACTCCGCATACCAATAGATCAATTAAATTAGTCAGAACCCGAAAATATTATGTTGAACCATAACACATAATTAAACTCGTACATGAACTTTATTATGTTATATATATATA